CGGAGAATTTAGGAATCAGTAAAAATCGTCCAAAGAAGATTAAATATATTTTTACAATAAAGAGTAACACAGATTGTACATATTAGTATTTTGTCGGTAAGCCACAATTAGTTTGAATACATGTTAGTCATTGAAGAATTAATTTTACTAAATTTTCATAAAATTCTGAAATTATTTTTTATCATTGCTCATGTGAAGCTTTTTTAAGGCTTTCTTTATTGATAATAATATATAATCTTGTTTTTTTATACAATTTATTCCAAACGTTTCCTATGATTTTAGTGTCTGATGATTTGGCAGATGTACAAGGAATTTTGGGGCTGTTATAGAAAAGCTAATTCTTTGCTACATTGAAATTGTATTCAAGATCGTTGTCTGTATGAAACTTAAAATCATTTAAAACACCCATTTTATCCCTTATTGTCAATAAATACTAAATTTCCAACATCATAACCTGATATCATTTGAGATCCACCTCTACATTTTACTGTAGATTGAAGATATTTAATTTTTATCTTTGTGTTTGGTTTCCTCCACATAATTACCCTTCCATGTGAACCAAAGATATTGAATTTGGATTCATCCATAAAAATAACATTATTCCAAAAATTAAAATCTCTTATTTACTTTCTAGCAACCTCACATCTCTCCTTTTTATTTTGCAAACTTACATATGACTTTCCCCTAGCAATTCTGCCATGATAATCACTTTTTTCTCAATACTCATCTAATAGTAAAATCACTTACACTTTTATTTAAATATTTTTCAATGCCCAAAACTAATTTGGGAGCACTAGCCTTAGAATCAATCTTGATTCTTTTGAGAATCCATCATTTATCCTTTGGATTCAGCTTTTTGTCCACTTTTTTCTTTACTTTATTTAATAAGCAATCTTCTTCCTTGTAATATTTTACTACATATTTGATCATACTTAGACTATAATTAATAATCTGACAAATTTCATTGTAACTCCTTCCATTGGTACAATGATAAAATAACTACCTTATGCTCAGTTGTTGTGGTTTATCACATCTTTATTATTTTCTTCTTTTCGTCAATAATATGTGTTGCAAATTGAGGTCAGCTAATGTCACTATTGTGTATTCAATTGTTTCTATTCAAGTATTAAACAAAGGAAAGTTTGGAATTCCCAGTTTTGCAGTATCATCAATGTGTACAACTTTTACTGATGCCTGAATTCTCTATATAGACATACATTTTGTTTAATTTACTTATAATTATAAACATTTCTGTGATATTCTTGTTACATATTAAATAAAGATATGTTAAACTATTCGTTCTTATATCATTTTTATTCATTCTCTTTGATTTGTACATTTTATTGGAAAAGATTGTTTGAACTGTACGTTGTACATTCTTAAATGACAGTCACTGTATATTATTTATGTTTTGCTAACATTACACTGAAATAACAAATATATTTTTACAGCAAAAAAATATGAACTATTTCACATTTATAACTAAAGATTATATATTATTTGTAAGTAATTTTACTCCTACTTAATTTATCCTTTAGTGATTGTATGAAAGTGAATTCATAACCTATGAAATAAAAATATAGATTGAATTGTTTTGATACCCAAAAGATAACCTCATTAGTCTTCACAAATGCATTAACTAAACAATATATGAGAAATGATAATGCAGTTTTCGAGTAACGCTTCATAAAGCAGCTTATATTTTTAACGTGAATGATTTTTCATCTCATATGTTCCGCACAGATTTTCACATTAGGATACATTTCTCTAACCGGATAGTTTCCCTACCTTTTAAATTTAATACGAAACCCGAAGCAAACTGTTACGCACCTTCATCTACCTCTTAGCACACACAAAACGCACGATGAGTTGATACCGAAAGAAAATTTACGCGTAAACAAAACTACCTTGACAAACACAAATCCTCCATTTATCAACTGCACTGATCGCAAACTATAGGTGGTCCTGATTGGTCACGTTACTGCCGAATCTTTCCGAAGCGCTCTCTATAAAAATCACTAGAATATGTCGTACTCGAAACTGTCAACTTTGTCTTCATGTTACTGTTGCGTGGCTAATTGGGGATTTTGGATGGGTTGTTGCCCGTGGAGTATTAAGGCGCTCTGCTAAAATGAACAAGAAAATCTAAACGTTAAATCTTTTATAAAACAACAACTGAACTTAATAACAATAAAATCATAATAATAGTAGGAAATTAATAATAAAAGATTTTAATGTTTTTACAATTTTTGTTTATTTCAAAAATATTACATCTAGACTCTTTGAGCGAAGAGAAAGAAATGAATTCAATGTTAACGTATATTTGTTAAATAATAAACTCCAATTAAATGAATGAATCTATATAAAATTATTTAAAGATCAATTTGATTGGTATCCTGCATTTATTCATTAATATAAATTTCTTCTAAAATGTGTTTTACACCTCAGCAATTGTTCTTCGCGTAGCAACGAGGATAAATATTTATTTTAACGAGCAGTTGTAAATAGTAATCAATGATAATTTACAATATATGTTATCGAGTTTCATTGTTCATTGCTTCGGCCACGCCGCTGTACAATTTATATTTTGCGCGTTTAAAATTCGCACTACGGGGAGCCACATGAGCCATATAACGTTACTAGATAACAGCTAGATTTTGAACACTGAGTCTCATCGATCTTTGCCGAATCCCTAGAACTAACTCAAATGCAAAGCAACGGTAGTTCCATGTGAAATGGTATACGATGCATAGGATGACGAATGGCGTACGATCTATGTTAAACGCCATTCGTTATTGTACGCACCGTATACCATTTCATATAGAACCACCGCTACTGTACGTTTGTGTTAGTTCTAGGGATTCGGCAAAGATCAATGAGACTTAGTGTACGAAGAATAAGTAAAATATAAATGTAGAGGATGTAGGCACGTGTGTTCTCTTAGGAACGCATGAGTCCCTTCTTGAGAGTAGCGATATTTTCGTTTTATATGTACACTAAAATACGTTTTTACTTAATATAAGAATTATCATACTTGTCAACTATACAAATAAAAATGGAATATAATGTATTTCGGGGTGAGAATATTCGTCGATATAACCTTTATTGTTCTTGCGTAATAGAATCAAGCAATTTTAATAAATTAATTTAAACGTTACAGATTATTGCAAAGCAGAAAATAGCGAAGATGAAGAAGTAAATCATGATTTGCAATCCCAATTGTATTCAGAAATCTACTATGCTTCAAATGATAAAGAGAATGTGGACACAAAAACAAATGTTAAATTAGAAACTTCCAGTGCTGATGATGAAAAATTGCATAAAAATGCAAATACAAGTAGAACATCTGGCTCTAATGATAGTTTTATAAAAAGTAGTTATAGTAACAATTGTACGAAAACAGATTTAACAAATGATTTAACAGACACTTCAGCATTAACTGAAAAAGATGATAAACCAGACATTAAGACTATTTGTGTCACAAGTACAACAGAATTATTGCATAAGGATATAAATAACAAAGGTAATTTCAATGCATCTTGTGTAAAAATGTTAGGACACTCTGAAGAAAATTGTGAGCTTTCAAAGGTTAATAAACAATCAACAATGTGTTACAATGTGATGGAGATGGAAAATAAAGATGAATTGAAAATTATGCATTGTTTAGATCATGAAGCAACTGTAAATGAGTTTTCTCACTTAAATTCTGTAAAAGTTAGTATTAATAGTAATGATGGGAAAGTTCAGGAAGTTACAGCTACTGAAATAAACATAAATAACAATAATATCTTCAAAAAATATGAATTTTCCAAGTTATTTATCAATAAGCTATATTTAGAAAAGTATGAAAACTTAGAAAAAAGATTACAAAAAATTGGAGAAGAAAAAGAACAAGAAGAAACAAATGTTGAAGAGGATGCAGAAAATTATCAAAAGCAACAACCAGATAAACATATGCAATCTCCAAATGATATAAAAGCAAGTACAAAATACAATGTTTGTCATAAACTTGACAAAATGAAAAAAACAGCTAATTATTCAGATGAAATAACAGTGTTATCATCAGACACAGAGAGTGATTCTGAAGAATCTATTTTAGAAGTACCTATTCCACCAAAGCCTCAACCACCCGTTATAAATTTACAAGATTCTGATGAAAGTTTAGAAGCATTATGCACTGACAGTGATGAAGATCAAGAATGTTTATTTCTTAAACAAAAAGAAAATATTTTATCAGGAAAGAGGAAAAAAACTTCCACAGTTGATCAGGATTCGGACAATAGTACATCAATTTTAGATTTTGTTAATGATACCTCAATGACAGAAGATATAGTGTTAAATTGTACAGAAATACAGAAAAGTGCTTCAAGCATAAAAGAAATATTGGAATTGAGTAAAACTATTCAATCAGAGCAATCCTCTAAAATTTTTTATGACAAATCAATTACCAAAAATAAAGTTCCTAATAAAAATCTTAGTAACTCTAATCAGTTACTCTTATCTACCAAGAACAAAGATAATATATCTGAATTTCAATTACCATCAAAAACATTTAGTGATAGCAGTGTTACATATGAAAGAGATAAAAGTAAAAAGTCAGTTAATTTTGCAGAAGATGTAACAGTATCAAATTTTGTTAATGTTAACGAGTTAACTCCAAATAGAAAAAGGCACCATGATAATGACAGTGAACCATGCACCAGTGTAAAACAAAGAAAAGATACAAGTAATATTGAAAGTAAATGTTCCAAAACAAGCACTGAACAATATAATGTTAAAGATAAAAATAAGCAAGAATCATGGGAAGAATATTTCTTTCGTCCTATGTCAGCAAACATTAAAGCTTTTTACAATGAACCTCGAGGACAAGAGAATTTTGATATTCAGCATGTACAAAGTAAAATGTCAAGTAAGTCGTTAAAAATTAATGTATTGCATTTTACTTTTAAACTTGATACTTATAAATATTTTCTATTTTAAATAAATTATAGAAGATCCAAAACTTTGGACTATCTTACATGAAGACTTGATGCCAAATTTATTAAAACACAGATACTGGAATATGAAATGCAGTTATTGCCATAAACAAGGCCATCAAAAACATAATTGTCGAGAATCATATAAACCAATTCGATGTCATATGTGCGGTACCCAAGGACATACAGATACACGATGTCCTCAAAAAATGTGCCTCACGGTTCGAACATACATCATAAAAAATATACTACATTATAATTTTATAATAATATGTTAATCCTTTACAGTGTGGTAAAAAACAGGGAACATTTAGAAAAACTTGTGAATCTTGTCGAATGTTATATTGTAATATGTGCAAAGCTGTAGGACACAAATCAACTGAGTGCCCAGATCTTTGGAGAAGATTTCACCAAACAGTAAGTTTACTATTGAGATGTTATTGGTTGATATATAAACGCTATATTTAA